ACAGTCCTGGAAGTCCTCCACAAAAACATTTGTCAGTGGGGCCCAGTGTGTCATTTCCAGTGGACATGGGATTTTATAATATCTTTGTGAAAGGAAAGCCTAACGAAGTTAGAACTATTGTGTTTCTTTTGTCTCTGCTCTATTGCAAAATAACATTTGCAAAAAAAAAAAATTTAAAGGAAAGTGTTTCTTTGCGGCTTAGCTTGGTACTTGCCCATACTTGATGAGAATTAGAGAGATACAAAATAATTCTGTCATCTTGGACTTTTATAGACCCTTTACCAAGATGTTTCTAGTGAACAAACAAAAACAGATGGCAGGCCTTGTTCTTCTCAACTCTCTATTTCCTGTTGTTGATGATGATGATGATGGGTTAAAGAGAGGAACTGTGGCAAGGGGAGGGACCTAGTTCTGTGCACCAACCACCTCAGGCAGGAAATCTAGTTTCCTTTCCCTTCCCTCATGTCAAATCCTCATCTGCATTCCATCGTCTGAGGGGCTACCACAACTGTGGTTGCCCCAAAAGAAGATGGAGTCCAGCCATGCTTGGATCTAGGATTCTCCAGAACCACTGTTCCTCTGGGCATTGTTTCCCAACATATCACATTGCTTGAGATACTTAATTTTTCTAACTAGCTTGTAAAAAATGTTATAAAGCCCTTTCTTGAAATACAAAAGATGGATTAATAGTCTTTCATCCATTACAATATCCTATTCTCATGGAAAAAGAGAGTGTGAGTCTTTGATTCAGATATTTGCCTAATTCTTTCCTAGGGGTTGATAAATCATATATCACACATACATACAAACACATATAATTTAAAATGAAAACAAGACTAATAACAAATAGTAGCTTCTCCCACAATGGATAGTGGCTGGAAAGGAGTCCATCAGACAATCAATACATTAAGCCATGGAGAGGCTTGAGATGGAACAATGGATAATTCGGATAAACACAGAGGTTGTTACTTGTACCAAGAACATGATAGAAATTAAAACTTAGAGACTGATAGGCACATGGATTGAGGCTTGAAAAAGGAGACCTTAATGTTTGAAATGAAGATGAAGAAGTAACTGTTTAGCCACTCACCAATCTGTAAGACTGTGATTGGTAATCACTTAACTGTAGCCAGTTGCTTACTAATGGAGTAATTGGAGCCTTCCACAGAGAATGATATACCTACCATATTACAGTAGATATATCAGGGTATTTAGGGTCTCTCTTATTGATGGCTTGAAGTAACTTCCAAACCTGCTTTAATGAGCAATATGCTGTTCCTTATTTGGTAATGTATATGTTAAATTTAAATACCAAACACCAGAAACCTTGGGGTTAAAAATAATAACTTGAAAATACTCAACGTTCTTGAATATAGTAAAAGTTGTCTGACTGCTTTCATATAACATAAAATTATTTACTAAATAAAGAAAAAACTGTCACCTACCTGGATGCTTGACACAGATCATGTGATAAAAGGCTCAATTCTTTTCAAGAGTTGTTTCCAATGGCAGCAGGTAGGGTTACTCTGGCAGGTCACATTTTTCTCATGCCCATGCTAAAGTCAAAGAAAGTGTCTGCTTGCCTGGGCCTGGGAACTAAGGCCAGGGTGCTCAAGCTATTCTAGCACAGGCATCCTTTCCTTATAACGAGGTCAGAGACTTCTGAAGACCTCATGCCCCCACTTACATACCTCTGTACATTGATTTTATCCTAGAACTGAAATGAACTTACTTTTGCAATAGCCTCTTAGCTGCTATTGTTAAAATAAATGAAGGTGCCTGTGCTTAAATCTGGAAAACATTTAAAACTTTATGAAATAATTTAACAAAAGTAACAAAGACTTCTGTTTTTTAAATCCAAACAACATGTTTTCAGGGAAATGTGTTTTGAAAACCAATAAACAAACAAACAAAAACCCTTTTCCATCTAAGATTATAAAGCAGCAGGACACTTGGTTCAATAAGTGTATTTCCTGCCTCTCTCTCTCTTCTCTCTCTTGTGACTTCCTCTTTCTTTTTCCTGTCTTCTCATCTTTCCACCTTCCCCATACATCTTCCTTTCTTCCTTCATTTTCTCTAGACAAAGTAATTTAAATTGCAAACTAAACAATTCTCTAGAGTTAGACTCTTAAAATGTCTGTGAAATATTTGCTTTAGAAACCAAAGGACAGGCCTGTGAGATGGCACAGTAGCTAAAGTTGTCTGCCACCAAGCCTAAGAACCTGTATCCAATCCTCAGGCCTCCATATGGTGGAAAAAGATAACTCATTGCCAAAAGTTGTCCTCTGACCTCCACATGTACACCATGGCACATGTGTACCCCCAACACTCATATGTACACGCAAATAAAAAATCTTAATAAAAAGAAACTAAGGAGGAAAAATGTTAAAGCAACAAACATTTAATACAATGAGTATATACGTCACTGTGTGAGAAATCTCTAACAATAAATTGTGTGGAAAGATTAGTTTCGCATTACTTCTTCACAACTGTGAATCTTACATTCTTTGTAGCCACCCCTTTCATGATTTCTGAGTTTTAGTGGGGTGTGGGGAATTATAGATTTCCCAGTTAGGCCAGAAATCCACAGCTACTTATTCACCACTTTCACCAATCAATTGTAAGTCTTTGTATTAACCAAAGAAGTTTCTTTGATGAAAGTTGATATCAACAATAATCTATGGGTATACATATAAATATTTAGAAGATAGTATGATCCCATATCCACTTAGCAAAATAATAGCATCTCTCCTATGGTCTTTGACCTTCCCAGCCACAGTATCTTGGCCAGGTTTATAATACTAGGTATGAGTTTGTTTTTCTCGAACAGATCTCAAAGCTAACCATAAAGCACTTGGTTATCCCGACAATTTATCATGCCACTATTGTAGTGTAGCTGGCTGGTACTCCCTTTGGACTTCCTGTTTTCAAACCTGTCAACTGTGTACTATGCAAGGTCTTGATCTCCAAAGGAGACATACTTTTGCTAGGCAATATGGCAAAACTCCTATGAAAAACAAAAGCTGAAAACCGCTTCAGCTGCCTGGATACCTTTTGTGCCTTGTGTCCAGAAAGTGGCAGACAAGAAAAGACACAGTGTTCTCAAGTGTGACGGCTATTCTTGGTTGTCAATTTGACTATATCTGGAATTAACTCAAACTCCCAAATGGAGGGCGCGTCTGTGAGGGCTTTTTGCTTAATTCAATGTAAGAAGATGCATTCCTAATCTGGATCCTTGAAGTAGGGAGGCACATCATTCATGCAGATCTTTTGAGCTGGGAAAAGACTTAACTTTAATCTGGATCTGGAGGTGGGAAGACACCCCTTTAATCCAGCTCATTTGATTAACCTATCTCTAATCTGGGCCACACCTTTTGCTGGGAGTTTTGCTCCTTGCCCATTTTCTTCTCTCTTATTGCTAGCAAGTCCATTCCTTTACTGGCAGGATTCCAGTGTATACTGAAGACCAGCTGTGACATCTAGCCTCATGGACTGAGCAACTACTGGATTCTCAGAACTTTCTGTTCATGGCCAGCCATTGTTGGATTAACTGGATTATAGCCTTTAAATCATTCTAATAAATGTGATTTCTACATATACAGATTTATCCTGTAACTTCTCTAGAGAAACCTGACTAATATAACATGGATGGTTGAACCCTTTCAAGGTTAGAATATTGTTCATAATGGAGACAGTTAAGAAATAAAGGTTGCTAAATAAAGGTTGATAAACCCTTATCAAATGAGGGTTATAATAAATAAGCATCACAATATCATAGTGAAGAGGGTATGATAACCTGAAACTCAAGCCTTTGAGGGAAGGTGGGTCTGAGTTACCTGGTAGCCACCAATAGAAGCTGAAGAAAATGGACTAACAGTGGGGGAGACAATGGAACAAATAACTGAGAGTGGAGTGAGGGGGACTGACAGCCTCTCTGAGCCCTACTGCAGCAATAGTACTGGGATCTGCCCTGCAAACTACCCCCCTTCTATTGTGGTCATAAGACTGACTGTAGCACCCAGGACAGAAATATGTCCCTGTAACCTCATTTTTAAAAAAGGCCTTTTGAATTCTTTATAAGTTACTTCCCAAGCATAAGGGGAAATAAATCTATATGGAACAAGGGGTGGATTGTGGTTAGCAAAGTTGGACTTCCAGATCTGTCTTCAAGAAAGGACTCACTCACTGACCAGCTTCAAGGGATGACATCAGCAAACCTCCAACCACCAGCTTTAAAAGTTTCCAAAGGAGGTACCCTGCATAGGTGCCTCCTCCTAGAACGAAAATCCCAGTGCAGAGTGTGGGATCCCTCCCTGTGAATTGTTAATCAGGGAGGCCCAAGAGCTTCCAAAACATCATAACTATTGTCAATGCTCTTGGTTGCCCACCAGGATGAGATCATTACATCCTGTCGGCTGAAGACACTATACACACTTGGGTTTCAAACCATTGAGAAATAAATCTGGATCCAAACTAGCATGCTTCTCCCTGCTGGCTGTTATACCCAAAGTACAGATTCCCAAATTACCACCACAAGACCCGATCTGATTTTTAAAAAAAAAAAAAAAAAAAAAAGGCTTTATTAGAGTTAACTCAGGTCCTTCCATCCAACCTGAGCAGCAGCAGAGCAGGAGAGCCCCCCCCCCCCCCCCGAAATGGGATCTTTTATAGAGGGGAATTCCAAGCCTTCAGTCTTCTGATTGGCTGCCGCCTCCATGGCATCAGGAGAATTTCCAAGTTTACAGACTTGGCATTGCTTGGCATTGGTTGTCATATACTTACACACAATATAGTTAGAATTTTTTAATTAAAAAGTTTGAAAAAGGCTTTGGCTTTCCTTAGGAAACTCAGCATCACTATAACCTGATACACGTACAGAGTGATAAAGTATAAAGCTTTTCCTGTCACCTGCTGTTGCTTATTTTTTTGTGATTTACCATAGTGTGTCTCCAATCTTCCCCTTTACAATGAAGAGTGTGATTAATCAAAGCACTGCTATGCACATTTTAGGTTGCTGTGTTTGCTTTATTCAGTAATGAACATGTAGTCCATGATCTCAGTTACAACATTTAACAGGGCTAACAAGCATTTAGAAATTAGAGTTTTCTGATACTTGATCTTCCAACTCATGTATTGAATTATTTCAGTAGTTACTCAATTTCTAGGATCTCTATTTTATTACATACTATCAAATTGTATTTTTTAAATAAATAATCTTCTTAAAAATACTCCATAGTCTTTTTCCTTTGTGTTCAACACTTTTCCTTCCATTTTTTCCTATGGTCTGTATGCACTGTCTGGTGATAAATGATAAAGAATGGACAATGATTTTTTTCAGTTGATGGTCTCCAATTAAAGTTGATTAAACAATTAGCAATAGTTTTCATTGGCGCTATTTAACCATAGTTTTTGGAGACCAAACATTGATACATCACTCTTCCATAACATGGAAGACATCAGTTTTCCTAACGTACCTACTGTATTTGTGATAATTGGGGAGATTCCAAGGAAGCCAGTGGCTAGTAACTGCAATAGATAAGGCACTGTAAGGAGAGAAACTGAGACGAGGTGGCATATAGATGGAACTGAGAGGAAGCACAGAAACTAGGATTCTGCATTGAAAATGAAATTCTTTTTCATCAAATAAAAGGCTTACTAAAGACAGGCCTGGGACAAAGACCAAATTAACATGGGCTCAAAGAAAAGACGAAGCAAAGTCCCTTTAGGACTTCTTAAGGTTTCAGATGGGTTGAGAAGGCCTGTCACTCAGCCTGGATGTGTGGAAGAGTGATGAAGAGGCTTTCCTTACAGGTCTGTACAGTTAGACCTGGGTACTCCAATCCTTCCGGACTTACTCCCCCAATAACTTCACCTTTAGGGAAACTCCAATTTCTTCACTACACTTGTTTTAAAAAGTATGCTAACACTTTGAGTGACGTCTGCTTTTCTAACCAAATCCTACCTAAAATAGTTGGCCTCCATGGAAGAGTCTGAGGGTAAGATTGAATTTGCAATTTTATTAGACTGAATGATCCTGGGTGGAAAAACTGAAAGAAGGAAAACAAATGAGGAAGGAGGAGAACCAAATTCAAACTGACAAATCACTGGATAGCATCTGCTGTTGTAGCATGGAGTCCATGAAGAGACAGTGTCGGTCTCTTGGCAAGTATGCTTGCCTAACCAAATGGTCATGTCAGGATTAGCAGGCTGAGTACCTGGAAACAGTCTTCTGAAGGGAGAGGAGTGTACCAGACACATCTAGGCCATTAATCTAGTCAGTTTCACTAACATTTCAGGTTACATCCCAAGGCCCTTTTGGCAGCCACAAAAGGGAATTCTAAATTCCCTTTTGGAATCCTGAAAGCCTACTGGTGTTGTTAGTGTATAAGATGGGAATTAAGACAAGGCCATTTATTGAGAGTTTAAGAAATAATGGGGCTAAAACCCTTCCTGGATGCTTGAGATGCATCTGATACAGCATCCATAGATGGGCTGTCTACTGGCACAACAATGCTGTAAAACAGTTCAGCGTTGGTGTAAGGCACTCCTTGCCCACATATCAGGAGTCAGGTAGGTGGTTGTCAAGTCACCTGACCTACACAGGAGTACAGGGGCAGAATAAGGGCAACGTTGCACCCTCCAGCAGGTTAGCACAGCCGTGTACATTTATACATCAACAGCCAAACCACAAAAATAGAAATACAGCTAACTTGGAAATGTTTATGGCTCAGATTCAGAGTGAGGGGTACTTCAAAGCAACACCAGAAGGTCTGAAGGGCCATTATATGGGAACAGTAGGTTAAGGCCATTTTTAGAGCTTATCACACAAAGAGAAACAAGACAAGGCATGAGGGCCATCTTTCTTATGGCTGCTGTGGGATGGGCAGATGAGTAGTAAGATCATTCTCTCCTCTTTTTCCTTCAGCCTTTCCACTGCTTTGATGGCTTGTAGAACTGCAGAAATGGCAATAGATTTGGCTCAGAGAAGCCTAACTTTAGCATACACCCCTACCATACCTAGACTTTGTCCTACTTAAATCAATTTAAGCTGACCTTTATTTCTAAAGATATGTTGTAAACATGAGAAATTTTATTTTAACCCATATTGTTCACTCTTGAAAAAATAAATCTCCTATGGCATCCCTAGCACACCAAAACAGACGAGATTCTGTTGGGCCGTGTACTCTTAGCCCTGGGTCACCTGACTTGCCACAACAGATCATACGCAAATCCCTCTGGCAGGGCCACATGATGCCACAGTTCTCCCCTAGTGCAGAGGCCAGGCAGAGGAGGAAGTGCAGACTTACACAGAGAGACAACACACCACCTCTGCTGATTCTGCCACTAACCCTAAGCAAATTATGTTTTGCCAAAAGATTCTGACTATAAGTCCAAAGCTGAAGGTGAAGATAAGTGAAAAGATAAGGCAATATCTAATCATATATAATGTCAATCATGTAAATCTAACACAACATATTAAAATGTACAATGCAACTGAGATATGCCCAAACTGAGCACATAGCTTCTGAACTATGTCTTTCAATCAGGACCATCTCTTTAAAAAGGAACAAGACTGGAACTTTCCTCCTGAGTCCTCCCACAGACACCGGGCATGATTATTTCCCCAGAGGAAACAGGCTCAACTGCAAGCTTGTGAACATTAGCAGAGCAATATGACAAGCTGAGTGTGCGGAACTAATGGATGAGCTTTGGTTTTGTCTTCTCTCCAGAGCCTTTGGCATTCTTTATCAAGCGGTACATAAAAGAATAGAAGAATAAAAGATTGTCATATTGTCCTTTGTACTTCTCTTTCAGCATGTGACTATGGTAGTCTACCAGGAAGTAATAAATGGCTTCAATTGTGGAAAGGAAAGTCTCTGGCTTCCCTTTTTGATGGCGCCAAAAGCAAGTTTTTCTTGTTTTCAGTTCAACTTGTAATAACTCTGCCAAACAAACAAAAAAGAGAACATGTAAATACTTCTCAATCACATTATTATTGAGGACAATAATAATAACTGGTACAATAATATGCACTGATACACAATGATGATTTAATTACTTCAAGGGTTTTTTTTCTTTTTCTTTTTTGAAAGTACAGATAAGTTCCTTCCATTCCAATTCTAAACAGGGTATTATTTAAATGTAAGCGGTACATGGAGAGACAACAGGGCACAGAATGGGATCGTGTGCATCCCTATCCTCTCTGGTTCTCAGAGCATGCAAAACACATTACAAAGTCAACAATCAAGAAAGTCATCTATCTTGGGTTCTCTATCCTGCTAACTTCTATTTAAAGTTCCTTTTTAAATTTTGAGTTGTTAACAGAACTTCATTATCCATTTGCAAAAAGGATTTTTCTGATAAAGTAATTTTTTTCTTCTGAAATAGTCATTTTTATTCACTCTCTATTTTTTCTTTCCTTTACATATTGTTGTAGGCTCTGTATAAATACAGAGGAAGGAGGAAGGTAATATAACAGTAAGGGCACCTGAACAAGTTATAAGGAGTCATACCATTAACTATCTACCTAAAAATACCTATAACACATATAAGTAGGTGTATGAATACACATATATAATTTAAATGAAATTTTCTCATCTGGGCTGACAATGCTCCCTCCATGAGCCAGTCATCTAATAAAACCCCCAACACCAAGCATGAGAAGCCCTCCTTTGAGTTGTTGCTAGTAAATGTTTCCAAAAGAATCAAAAACATTACAGGTTATTGTTACTGCCCTTGGTTGTCCCCCAGAGGTGGAAGGTAAAAGTCCCTATTGCTCAAGATACTACACACTTCAGACAGAGGGTCCAGAGGTCCCTGAGTGGGCCCAATAGCCTCTTCCCAGAAAATTAGCTTTCACTGTACCAGAGGGCAACATGTAAGTTTCCAAAAGAGGGAAGCAACCAACAGTCCTGCCCAGCTACAATGCCTATGAACCACAACAATCAGCATAGCACAATAATCCTAAGGGTATAGTAGTGGCCCCTATATCCTGGTGGTAACCAACAGCTCTCTAATCAGACTTAACTAAACCCCCTGAAGAGAGAAATCATGCCTCATAATAAAAAACCTAGCCATCTACCCAGGGCTAGTGAAGTCATGGATCTTGGAGCAGAACCTCTATACTAAACCACTATAAACTCTTAACTATTTTCAACATGCCTTCATAATAAAAAGACCTCAAGAACAGACAGAACATACCACAATATGGTAAAAGCTATATATGACAAATAATAGCCAAAATTATACTAAACAAAGGAAAATAAAGTTATTTCCTCTAAAATCTTGAACAGATAAGAATGCCCATTCTCCTGATTCCTATTCCATTTAATTCTTGAAGTTTTAGCTAGAGCAGTAAGATATGAGAAAGACATAGGGAGGATCAAAATTGGAAAGGAAGAAATTAATCTTTTGCTTCTTACAGACAATGTGATTCTACACTTAAAACACCCAATGGGCTCCACTAGAGAACTTTTGGGTCTATTAAACATATTCAACAAAGTCAAAGGATACAGAACCCAGTGGCTTTTATATGCACCAACAACAGATTTGCAGAGAAAGAAATCAGGAAAAAAAATATTCCACTATAATTGCTTCCAAAACAAAACCAAGCAAAATCAGCTATCTAGAAATAACCTAACAAAGGAAGTGAGAGATCTCTACAAGGTACCGGGTAGCTTTGGAAAAGGGAACTCATATACATTGCTGGTGGGAATGTAAACTGTGTAGCTACTATCAAAATCACTATGAAGATTTTCCAAAATACTAATAATGGAACTAACACACAGCCTCACTATACCACTCCTGGGAATAAACTCAATGGACTTCTTATCATACCAGAGAAGACTGTCTTTCATCCGTGGTCACCACTGATTTTTATACAATAGTAAAAATCCTGTCCTACATGTCCATCCACAGATCAATGAATAAGGAAAACCTAGTAAATATACCATGGAATTCTATTTGGATGTAAGGAAAATATAAGATTTAAAAAACTGTAGGGAAATACATGAAACTAAAAAACACTGCATAAAGTGACATCACCAGACTCACCAAGACAAATACCAGAATTCTGTCTCATCAAATTGTTAAATATGTATATCCAGACAGGAGTAAATGTGGGGGGAGGGGAGCATCGGGACAGGGAGAGCAACATAGGGCACCAACCAAAATGAAGTATGGAGGAAAGTGCCTCAGTACCTGTCAACTTTGTCATCTGGCTAAAATTAACTAAGAGGGATATATATTATGTAAAAACTGCTAAGTAAAATGATATGAAATATCTTTAGCAATAACAGAACTCTTGAGACAACAGAGCAATAAACAGCTAAAATGAGAACCTAGAAAATAGTGCATCAGAGAGACAACAGGGATGTCACAGACAAGCACCCCTACCTCTGCCAAAAGGACCCTTGAAGGAATTCTTAGGAGACCTATTATGTTTCAGCAAAGGAAGCAGGGGAAGGGAAGACTGAGCATCAAAGTGGTCAAAAGTTACCCAATTCCAAATACACAGCAATCAATAGAGAGTCTAGTTGTGGACTGACAATGAAGGGCAGACAGAAATGATGAACAACAGTAGCAATGTGAGCCAGGAGGAGACTGAATGAAGTATAGATGTAGGAAGTCCTTAGCGTTCTTGAAAGGAGAGGCTAAAATGTTGACTTTGAGTGAAGGTGAGGATGTAGTTATATCACTAGACCCAAGATAAATGATAAATGGGTGTTTATTGGGGACAATTACACAGAAAAATACAAAGAACCGCCTGGGGGTTTCCCTGCTCTTCCTACTGGATCCGCTGCTCCTCTCTTCTGCTTCTGTCGGCCTGAAGCCACACCCAAAGGGGTGTGGCCACTGTTTCAGATCCACAGACCAAATGCCTACATTTGAACTTTTAAAAAATCTTTTTAACGAACTCATTTATTCTCTCCTCTCTCTCTCTCTCTCTCTCTCTCTCTCTCTCTCTCTCTCTCTCTCTCTCTTGTGTGTGTGTGTGTGTGTGTGTGTGTGTGTGTGTGTGCATGCTATATATAGCATTGTGTGGTGGCAGTCAGAAGAGGCCTACAGCAGTCAGTTCTTGCTTTATATCATGTTGGTCCTGGGAACTGAACTCACACCCAAGCATCCTTGCCCACCCAGCTTTGAACTTTTTAAAATGCTGTATGTACAATTCTCTGAAAGAATTCAGATAGGATTATTTTAAAACAGAATAAATAAAAATATAAAAACATTTTAAAACGTATTTCAGGGAAAAAGAAAAAACAAACAGAAAAACTCATGTGTGGTAGATTTTAGTGCTCTGGAGGCCATTGTGGGCTGCACAATGAGTAGCAGACCAACCAGAGCTATCTACACAGTGAAACTCTTCTTGCCTGCTGGCTAGCATGCTAGCATTCACAGTGCTGGAAGGTGGTACTCAGGCTGCTCACTCACCACAGACCATGTGTATTTAATATCAAGCTATCAAACAAGACATACCTATTGATACAATAGTGGCATAATTATTTGGAGGCTAAGCAACCTCTCTGTGACTGAATTTGAGGCCCATTCCATGGGAGAGAACACACCCTTGATACTCTACACTTGGTCAAAAACTTATGGCTGGGGAAGGCATGTCCAAAGGGAAGAAGACACTACTGTGCTTTCCCTAAATGAACATGTTGTTAAACAGCTTTCTAAATATTTCTGTTTAGTCTTATAGACCAGTTCTGCTCTCAGCCTGGGGAAGCTCCTGTTGAGTCAATGCAGAGAGGAATATCTGGTCCAAATACTGAGAATAAATGACTGTTGAACTTTCAAACATAAATGGGCTCTATGTCATCTCTATCTTTTCTCAGTGTGGCAGTGTACAGTGTAAACAATATGCTGAGATGCTGGGGGTAGCAGGGAGGAAAAGCTGCCAGTCATCATGCTACCAGGAACCTAACAGCTAGGCCACCATAGCCAGGGCATTAACTGCATTAAACAAGTTCAATGTATGACAGCTTCAGTGTTATGTCAACCTACCGTAAGCTGATAAATGACTGTATGCACAGACCCTGAAATGAGAGTGTTTAAAACACAAACAAAAGTACCATTTCAGCATTGTCAGCATTGTCAAAAATGAATGGAAAGAGCTGCCTAAGTGTGGAAGACATGGCCGTCCATTGATAATTTAATAATCTGGAATCCATCTATCCTCCACATTTTCCCAGTGCCCTTGGATGAATCTTCCAGAATGCTATGCCACACTGTACTTTGGTTTTAGGTGGATTGTACATGAGTACACCAAGAACTCTTACCTTTCAGTATTTTATTCTGATACTAGTGAAATGTCCACAGCTGTTGGTGCTGTAAACTTTAGCAAAGCAATCATTTCACTAGCAAGTAACTTTCTAAATCTATTTGCTTTATTTTATGTGTAGGAGTGCCTGCCTGTACGCATGTATTTGTGTGTGCCATGTGCATGCCTCAGAAGAGGGTGTTGGATCCCCTGGGACTGGAGTTGCAGGTGGTCGTGAGCTAACTTGTAGGTGCTGGGAACTGCATCCATGGCTTAATCACTAAGCCATGACTCCAGCCTGCTATGGTGATCCTTAATTTGAGCATTCAGAACGCCATGATGGAGGCAGAACTTCTAATACACAAATCTGAGAGCTGAAGCATGGTTTGTTCAGCTTAACCAAATGAGAAAGTGTTTTAAGATCTAGAGCCCACGATTGCTCACAAGCATGGATCATTTCTTATAGAGACAATTTGGTTTATCCAGAAATCTATCTTTCTCAAACATGGAGGCGATGCTTATGGCCCGCCCTGTGATTCCTGAGGAGTCAGAAGAGGCAGGAGCTGAATTAGGACATGCAGAAAGTTGCTTTCAGAGACCCATTTCATAGTTGAAGTAAGATGCGTGCTTTCTATGGGAATCAGGAAGGAGGAACCAATCTTTTGTACAAATCTCATTTCAGGCAAACCTAAACAGACTGACTTTGAATAGTACCAAAATAATTCCATTTATAGGTTTTTCAGGGACTTGTGTTCTTTCATTTGAACCTAGAAATTACCATATAAAGAAATAATAAGAAAAAACATCCCAGACAAATCTTCAGACTCAGGGGTAGCTTGCTATAGTAACAGGACAAGGGGCGGTGGCAGGCAGTGATCTCTCATGCCTTCAAAGCACAGGGCAGCATGGATTCATCTACTAAACAACAATAAAGTCTTCAAAGTCTTGTGATTCACAGGTACAAACTAACTAATTAGATAACAAATTCATTAAGCCAGCGAATTGTACTTTGTACTTCCTTTAGTTTAGAAATGATTAAGACCATAGTATGTCTTTTCTTGAGAGACCTTTTGGCAACCATGCAATACCAGCTGAGTAGCTCTCTTGCCTTCTAATTACAGTTAAGTTACTGTAAGTTAAGTACTGTACAGTTAAGTTACTGGAAAATTCCTAAAGCTTTTAGAGAAACCACTGAGAATGTTGGAAGCACTGAGAAAGGTATAAAGAAAGAAGAAAAACAGGATGAGCTTCAGGATACTAGCTGTGTTACGTGGGCAAGGAAAGTAACTTTTAAACTGCCATTGGGAGCTCAGCATTTCACTCAAACAGAAAAAGGCATACAGGGCCAAGAGATGGCTCAGTGAGTAACCATGTACAAGTGCATGAGGATCTGAGGCCAGGAGACGGCTCAGTGGGTAACACCAGCTGCACAAGAGCATGGACCTGAGGCTGGGGGATGGCTCAGTGGGTAACACCAGCTGCACAAGAGCATGGACCTGAGGCTGGGGGATGGCTCAGTGGGTAACACCTGCTTCACAAGAGCATGAAGACCTGAGTATATCACAGAATCCAGGGAAAAGCAGAAGCAACAGCACAGAGCTACGATCCCAGCCCCTTTGGGGAGATGGAGTAGAAATGGGAGGACACTCAGAAGCTCTGCGTCAGCTAGTCTGGTGTGGTGAAAAGAGGCTCTGTTTGAAACATGGTGGAAGGCATGGGTGACACCAGACATCATCCTCTGAGCACCACATACATTCAGTGGCATGCATGTGCCTACATACATGTGAAGACGTGTACATACACATATGTACATGCATTATATATACACATAAACACATACATGGGGACTTTTTAAATAAAAGGTATAAAGATAGAAGTAAAGAAAAAGAAATTCTTACAACATTTAACTGAGTCAGACTACCACTGTGAACTCACAGTATGTATACCTATTTGTTTTCTTGGCTCTGTCCACTGAAGAAATGGCATGTAGTAACCAACTTACATAATAGAGCTTTTAATACCAGATCCTGCTAAAATGAATCACAGGCCTTTAAGAAAATGATGATTCCAAGTTTGTGTCAGGAAGAAAGTCAACGTAGGTTTGACATATCCTGCTGTATCTACTAAGGCCAGTACTATTACAAACTACAGAGGTCAGCAATAAAAAGGCCAATTAACACATGAAGAAGTAACATGACTAACCTTTCTCCATTGTTCACTTCTCAATTTAATGATTGATTAATCATTCAAGGATCAATCAAACACTGATGAGAAAGTCTGTGGCCTGAAAGCATTACTCCAGTATACTTAAGGAAAATAAACTTTATGGTGGAATGATCTAGCATCATTAAAAATATGGAAACGACTTATTTATATGCCTCCCAACTTAATGTGATAGTAAGTATACAACTTCCATTCACCTTGCATGAATTATTCAACCAAACAACTAATGACTTGACAGGGAAAGGTCATACTATCAATAATGACAACAAACAACAGATACAAACTGGACCAGCTATAGACAAGTCTGGATTTACTCTTTCTTTAAAGTACCCTAACTATGGGGCTGGGAAAACGCAACAGTGGTCAACAGCACTTCCTATTCATGCACAGAACCCAAGCTTGGTCCCCAGCACCCCACATTAGGAAGCTCACGACTGCCTGCAACTCCAGCTCCCAGGGCTCTGATGCTCTCTTCTGGCCTCCATGGGCTTCTATATGTACATGCACACACATACACACATAAATTTTTAATAATCTAAAAAGTACGCTAACCAAAATATCTACACTGCATCTGATCATGAGACATTAAACAACCAATCTGATCACTTTACCAAAATCTAAATTAAAAAAAAAAAAACTTGAATTAGGAAACTGTTCTAGATTAAGAAACTAAAGGTATACAAGCATCAAAAATTTGAGTTTAAATGCTGTCTGTGTGGAGGGGGGGGAGTGCCACAAAAGCCATTATTGTATTCATCAGAAAATGTGAGGACAGACTGTGAGTTAGATATTGTATAAGTTCTGTTAACTTTCTTAGGAGTGGTGATGGCGTTTTTATTTCATAGGAGTGTCATTATTAAAAAGAACAATAGTATTTAGAGTGCAGTTTTGCAAAGCCCACTGCATACTTGAAAACAGTCCCACCAAGAATGTACACAGATGCATAAACACACACATAATACAGAAAGGGGGAGGGGAAACAAAGCAGACGTGAAGGTTAAGTGTAACCTTTCTCTTGAGGGAGCTACAAATTTGAAGCTTTTCGAAATAAAAGCTGTCAGTGGAGGAAAGTCCCCAGCCACATTTTCTTACCCCGAAGGCGCTCATCAGAGGCTATCTGGTTTGTCTGGCTCCAGGTGCTGTCAATGAAGACCACTCTCTTCAATGCTGGGCCTTTGTACACGCTCTCAGTCAAACCAGAGCCTCCCTCTGCCTCGGTTCGCTTGAGTTTAAAAGGTGGCACATCAAGCTCATCAGGTTTGCTTCTACCTTTACTCTCAATCCGTTTTTGCAGATGAGAAGAAACATCTTTTATTGAGACGGACTGAGGCCCAGGAAAAACAAGTACAACCTAAAACAAACAAACTCTAGTTAGTTACATGCTACTGTGATCTTCAACATAAACTCTGGCTTAAAACTCTAAGAAAAAGAGATGTTGAATGTCTAAAAAATAAGCATTAAATTGATTCTATTATTTGTTTTCTCCCATATATGGTAAAGCTTTAGCTTATTCCTAATAGCATGTATTCATATTATACTACCTGGAGACGTTAATTCAAAATAAGTTACTCACTGATGGGCAACGCCAAGTTAACAGTACCTAGAGTTAAACTTCTGTGGGGTAGTGCTATACTCCTATAATCCCAGCACTAGAGATGCAGGGACATGAAATCAGAGCCAGCCTGGGCCTCCTAAGAGTTACAGGCCAGTCAAAGAGACAAAAGGGCAAAAATACATGATGCTTTTAAAAAAAATAACCACTGGAAAATGTTTAATGACTAAACACTATTTTTACTTGTATAATAAGGAAAAATAAAACAAATAAGGCGGGGAGGGAATAGTGTAGTATTTTTTACAGCTATTAGTGATGGTAATAAAAAATAGTATACTATAATGGAGACTGTGAAACACACTTGTGGGTCTGACATCTACAAGGCTAAGACAACAGGATCTTGATTTCAAGGGTACACAGTGAAACTCTGTCTCAAAAATATTTAAAGAGTGTAATGGTGTGTTCTACTTAATCATATAAATGGTATTTAACTGACCAGAGAAGAATACGCAAACATATTACTATATCAAACTCAGCTGTGATTTGGAAATATAATATTCTAAATAAATTCAAATTATATAGAAACGTATGCTGTGAAGACATCACTGAAGTCAAATGCATATTTAGCCTTAAATGAGCATAACAGTAGATTGCTAAGAAGATTAAATCATGTTCAAATAAGTTGAGAAAGGAGCTGGAGTTAAAGCACCCAGAAGGTTCTAAGTGTCAAGCCACCCACCTCATGGTCCTTCCCTTCATACTCTGGAATGCACGGGTATGTGTAGATGCTCACAGAACTGGGCGCTAAGAGCTTTGCATGCACAGCAGTGCTTTTGCCGTCTGTTTCATTTGGATGCTTAATGATATCGATCTTCAATGGAAGCTAAAGTAAAAAGACAAATAAACAAAAGAAGTATAAAGGGCTGACTTTATGTCCACATAAACCCTCTGAAGCTACACATCAAGTTCACACTGAGCTCTTATGAGTGCACTTACAGTTGGAGGCCACACTGTTTAACCCGGGGTACCAAGGACAGTAAGTCATCCATCAAACCCCAATGGCTTCAATGCTGCTCATATACATGAGCAACTATTTCAGCACAGGCAATGTGGAACCTGCTCTTAAAACAATGACCCAGGGATACCTTACTTAAGTCATATACATATTAGTCCAGTTCCTCACATATCAGCATCCATGCCAAGAGCGTTTCAAAAGTAATGACAGTTTATGTTGGAAAGGATGTGGAGAAAAGGGAACACTCCTCCATTGCTGGTGGGAGTGCCAACTCGCACAGCCACTTTAGAAATCAGTCTGGCGACTCCTCAAAAAATGGGCATCAGTCTACCACAAGATCCAGCAATTCCACTCTTAGGCATATACCCAAAAGAAGCACATTCATACAACAAGGACATCTGTTCAACGATGTTCATAGCAGCACTATTTGTAATAGCCAGAAACTGGAAGCAGCCTAGATGCCCCTCAACCGAAGAATGAATAGAGAAAATGTGGTACATTTACACAATGGAGTACTACTCAGCAGAAAAAAAAACAATGGAATCTTGAAATTTGCAGGAAAATGGATGGAACTCGAAGAAACCATTCTGAGCAATATAACCCCATCTCATAAAGACAAACATGATATGTACTCACTCATATGTGGATTTTAGACATAGAGTATGGGATTACCAGCCTACAATCCACACTGCCAGAGAAACTAGTAAACAAGGAGGACCCTAAAAGAGACAAACTTTGTCCCCTGAAGAAGGGGAAAGGGTCGTGATCCCCTGAGCAAATTGAGAGCATGGGAAGAGTGGGGGAGGGAGCTACGAGAATGAGAAGAGAAGAAAAGGAAGGATGCAGAGGTCATGAGGGAGCAGAAAGGTTGAGTCAGGTATAGATTAGACGAAAAGATATGTTATAGGTAGGGTTTTAGTTGGGGGAGTGGTAGGGGAGGAAGGGATCGAGAAGGGAACTGGGATTTTCATGTAATTCAATCTTGTTTGTAATTTAAATAAAAAAGTAATTTCTATGAACTCTAGGTTTACTTTATGCTGTTTTCAAAGGAAATGAAAGCTTGGGTGAAAATTCAGATTTAAAATTCAAATTGAAATCCTATTCCTCAGACATTTTTCAAGTCAAAGTTACGTTAAGTTTTGTGCTCTTTGGCAATGTATTTTCACAGCACAAGTTAAGCTGTCAATAGGAAAAACAGCAACAGAATAAACTTTAAAGTGCTTTAAATAATCCCTCCAAAGTTATACTTGATACAAGTTGTGTCACAATAATACTTGCTCAAGTTATTTCCCTTAATTAAGCATGCATTAATTCTTCTGTTCAAAAACAATAATTCTCTTGGATTTCTTGAGCTAATTTTTTGTTTACTATTTAAGTTTCTTCATTTCAGACTCTGTTGTTTGGTAAGTACATCTACAATCTTCAAGATCTTCATTTCATGCCAAGGTAAGGGCTCTATGAACAGGTCCTGAACAGCAACCATTTCCTCTCGGACAGAAAACTGTTCCAGCATAAAACCAAGTATGCTAAGCCTATCTTCTAATAGATTTTAATATATATTATACCTGCAAACTGGCTACCACAATCGAGAAAATGATGTGTCCCCATCACAAGGTCTCCTAGTGTCCTCTCCTCTTCCTTCCCTACTATCTCTTTGTCACTTCAGTTTCCTTTTTCTGGGGTCTTACACAGATAGAATAATACAATATGATTTTCCCATCTGTTGTCTTTAACTCAAAATAATGACTTGGAAATGCATAAAGATACTGTTTATCATTTGTGCTATAGCTTACCCTCTCCCATTCAAGATGAGATTTATGTGGAGAGGCAGCCTCAAGGTCACAGGGCCATGACTGGGCCTCTAAAATGGGACAGCATTAGCAGACATCACAAGCAGACATCACACAAGAGGCAGCATGATGGAGTCTTGTAGCACCTTACCTTCGGCACCCAGAAAGGAGCTGTATTAGTAGAGAGACTGCCATGTGAAGAATTAGATGTCCTTCACATTTTTGGTTAGTGTTACCCTAAGGTATTTTATGTTGTTTGTGGCAATTGTAAAGGGTGATGTTTCTCTGATTTCTTTCTCCACCAATGTGTCATGGGTATATAGTAGGGCCACGGATTTTTTTGAGTTAATCTTGTATGCTGCCACTTTGCTGAAGGTGTTTATCAGCTGCAGGAGTTCCCTGGTAGAGTTTTTCGGGTCACTTATGTAGACTATCATATCGTCTGCAAATTGTGAGAGTTTGACTTCTTCCTTTCCGATTTGTATTCCCTTGATCTCCTTTTGTTGTCTTATTGCTCTAGCTAGGACAATATTGAAGAGGTATGGAGAGAGTGGATAGCCTTGTCTTGTCCCGGATTTTAGAGGAATTGGATCAAGTTTCTCTCCATTTAATTTGGCTGTTGGCTTGCTGTATATTGCTTTTATTTTGCTGTATATTGATTTTATTACGTTTATTTGTGTTCCTGTTGTCCCTGATCTCTCCAGGACCTTTATTATGAAGGGGTGTTGGATTACATCAATTGTTTTTTGAGCATCTAGTGAGATGATCATGTGGTTTTTCTTTTGCAATTTGTTTATATGGTGGATTACATGGATAGATTTTTATAAGTTGAACCATTCCTGCATCCCTGGGATGAAGCCTACTTGATCATGTTGGATGATTTTTCTGTTGTGTTCTTGTATTCAATTTGCCAGTATTTTATTGAGTATTTTTGCATTTGCATCAATGAGGGATATTGGTCTCTAGTTCTCTTTCTTAGTTGTGTCTTTGTGTGTGCCTTGGGTACCAAGGTAATTATAGCCTCATGAAAAGAATTTGGCAATGACCCTTCTGCTTCTATTGTATGGAACACTAATATCCAGTAGAATTCTACACTAAAACCATCTTGCAATGTGCTTTTCTTGGTTGGGAGACTTTTGATGACTGTTTCTATTTCATTAGGAGTTATGGGTATATTTAAATTTCTTATATGTTCTATATTTTATTTTGGTAAGTGATATCTATCTTGAAAATTGTACATTTCCTTTAAATTTTTGAATTTTGTGGACTTCACATTTTCAAAGTATGACCTGAAGATTCTCTGGATTTTCACATTGTCCATTGCCATGTCTGGCTTTTCTTTTCTGATTTTGTTAATTTTCATATTTTCTCTCTGCCTTTTGTTTAGGTTGTATAAAGTTTTGTTTATCTTGTTGATTTTTATCAAGAACAAACTCTTTGTTACATAGATTCTTTGTATTGTTTTCTGTGTTTCTACTTTTTTGATTTCAGTCCTCAATTTCATTACTCCCTGGTGTCTACTCTTCTGGGATGAGTTTGTTTCTTTTTCTTCTGGAACTTTCAGTATCTTCAATCTCATTGAATTCTAGGAAGTCTGTAATTTCATTTTTTATTTCTTCTATGACCCAGGGATGATGCAATTGCAAATTGTTCAACTTCCATGCATTTGTGTGTTGTCTACAATTTGTACTGTTCAATTGTAACTTTGAAGCATGGTGGTCATATAAGAGGCAGGGGTTTATTCCTATTTCTTGTATCTGTTGAGATTTGCTATATTGCCTATTTGTTGTCCATTTTATAGAAAGTTGCATGTGGTTTTGAGAAGAAGGTATAATCTTTTATGTTTGGATGGAATGGTATATAAATGTCTGTTAAATCCAATTGTGCTACAACTTCTGATAGTTCCTTTGTTACTTTGGTAAGTTTGTGTGTGGTGGTCTTGTCTAGTGCTGAGGGTGTGGGGTTGAAATCTCCTACTAAAAGTGTGTGGGGTTTTATGTGTGATTTAAGTTTTAGTAATGTTTCTTTTATGAATATGGGTGCCTTTATATTGGGACCGTAAGAAAGTGTTCAACATCCGTAGCCATCAGGGAAATGCAAATGAAAACAACTCTGAGATACCATCTTAC